GCATACTGACACCTCTCCGTCTCCCTCCCTGTGACAGAGAGGTCCTGCCGGGAGCCAAATGCGATTATACCATCCAGGTGCAGCTCAGGTGAGCTGATCCCCCTGTCTCCCCCACCCCCCCCCCAGGGCTGCCTTTGGGGTGGGGAGGAAGTAAGGGTATGGCAGATACTCCGAGGAGATACCCTGCTCTGCCACACCCGCCAGCCCTGGGACTCTTGTTTTATGCTGGGGATTCAGCTCAAGAAACTGAACCCCATTCTTTTTCTCTTCTCTCACCTCGTCCTAGGTTTTGTCTCTGTGAGACCAGCTGCCCCCAGGAGGATTATTTCCCCCCCAACCTCTTTGTCAAGGTCAATGGGAAACTGTGCCCCCTGCCGGTAAATACTCTTCCTTCTGGCAGTAACCCCTTTTGTTTCAGTTCCTAAATGTTCACTACAAACCTGTTATGAAAGAGACATGTGTAGCACAGTGCCTGGCACACAGTAGGTACTCGGTTAAGCCACACAGTAGGCACTCAGTTAACTGGTTGAATCAATATAATACAGAGAATACTAAAATAGGGCTGAACAAGGGTTCTGTCAGAATCCAGATGTTAGTTCAACCCAAATGTTCAGGGAAGGCTTCTCAGAGGTGATGACTCTCGAGCTGAGAGTTGGACCAAATGAGGCATCCCTCTATGCTTCCCTCCCTGGAACTCCATGAGTGGGTTCCTGTTTTGTTGGCCCATGAATAAGCTCTCCCCTGCACCTAGGAATGAACTCCAGACACAATGCTAGTGCTCCCTTCACTGAGTGGCCCCATCTCCTTGGCCAGTGAGCTGGCCTTCCCTCCAGGGAGTGAGTAACCCGAGACCAGATGTCGTGACCAGTCTGTCTCTTCCCCAGGGCTACCTTCCTCCTACCAAGAATGGGGCTGAGCCCAAGAGGCCCAGCCGCCCCATCAACATCACACCCCTGGCTCGACTCTCGGCCACTGTTCCCAACACCATCGTGGTCAACTGGTCATCTGAGTTTGGACGGGTGAGCACGGCTGAGCCAGGGAGGACGGAGAAGCCAGGGAGTGGGAGGAAGGTTTGGGAAGCATCTTCCTCTCTGGGGGTCTCTCTGCTGTCTGGTCCACCCCGGACAAAGGGTAGAGGGTGGTGTCAGGGCAGAGGCTAACTGTCTCCCCCTCCAAGTAGAATTACTCCTTGTCCGTGTACCTGGTGAGGCAGCTGACGGCAGGGACCCTTCTTCAAAAGCTCAGAGCAAAGGGCATCCGGAACCCAGACCACTCCCGGGCCCTGAGTGAGTAGCATCCTGCCCCTCTTCCCTCTCCCATCCCAATCCACGTCTTCCTGGCCCTCCAGCCTTTGGAATCAAACGCAGACTCCTCCATGACAATTTTCCTCACCTCTCACATTAACCTCAGCCCTCCCCTCACCCCTTACCGATTGTATTGGTGGATTAGTCGGACCACTTCCAGGCACGAGTGACACCCTTGCATTCCCTAACTCTGCTCCACCGGAAATGGGTTCTCCCACTTGGACAGGGTCTTAAGGATCATCTACTCTCACCCTCTCTGATGCTTCAGTTCCCTCTAGGTCATCTCTGCCAGAGTGTCACAGCTGTATTTAAGCATCTTCAGAGATCGGGGAATCTCCCCATTCACACACTCCCCCACAGACTTCCTAATCCAGATCCCAGACCCCCAGGTGACAGCCCACTGGCCCCCCAAGGCTCACTTCCCAGCTGCCTCTTGGCCAGCGCCATCTGCTCCGGCTTCACCCCTGCCAGCTTCCTCCCGGCCTGCTGGCCCATGGCTCTGGCTTCGCTCTTGTTTCAGTCAAGGAGAAGCTGACAGCTGACCCGGACAGTGAGGTGGCCACTACGAGTCTCCGGGTGTCACTCATGTGCCCGGTGGGTACGAGGGAGAAGAGGGGGTGAGGGCAGGGTTAACCTCTGCACAGATGGGCTGCTCGGGCCACTGCAGTGAGGCTGTCTGGGCGGGGCTCTGACCAGAGAACTCTCCCCGCAGCTCGGGAAGATGCGCCTGACCGTGCCTTGTCGCGCCCTCACCTGCGCCCACCTGCAGAGCTTCGACGCCGCCCTGTACCTGCAGATGAACGAGAAGAAGCCGACGTGGACATGTCCTGTGTGCGACAAGAAGGCTCCCTATGAGTCTCTCATCATTGACGGGTAGGCCCCTCTGCTCTCTGCTTTGTCCTTTCCTAGGACAGCCACTGGGATGCTCTCACTCTCACATATAGGCATGTGTGTATACATGTGCATACATATATGTACTCTATCCCCTTTTATACTATCTACATACATATTCCCGACATTGAGGACTTATACACGCTAGGCATGTGCTGAGCAGTTTGCACACCGTGTTTCCTCATAGTACTGCGACAGAGGTGCCATCCGTACAGGAGAGGAACCGGGGCCTGGAGAGGGAGTGTTTTGCCCAAAGTCACATTGTTAGCGAGTGGCCGAGCCCCGTAGTGAACTAGTACAGCGCTTATGACCTGACCTCTCAGGAGCCAGCAGTGAAGTTCTGAGGGCCTGGAAATGCTGACCTGCTGTTCTCTGGCCCCTTCCAGACCGACGTCATGGTTCTTGCTCCCTTTTCAAGGTGGTGCGTGTTCTCTCTGCTCCTCGTTCTGTCCCTGGCACTGCATGTGATAGGTTCTTGGAAGACACTTATTTTGAAACTGTTTGCAGAGCTCGTTTCCATACACACTGGTTCTAACAACTCAGTTCAGTGGGGTGGATGATACCCCTGTTTTACAGATGCGGAAACTGAGGTTCAGGTGCTGAGTAGCAGAATTTCCTGGCTACTGTCCCTGCCATCTCCCAGTCCCATGAATCCCCTTCTCTCCCTTCCCCAGTTTATTCATGGAGATTCTTAATTCCTGTTCGGATTGTGATGAGATCCAGTTCATGGAAGATGGATCCTGGTGCCCATTGAAACCCAAGAAGGAGGCATCTGAGGTTTGCCCCCCGCCAGGGTATGGGCTGGATGGTGAGTGACCCCCCGTCCCCCAGCTGAGCTACGTCTTGAGTGGCTTCTTCTCTGAGACACAGTCTCCTCCTCACCCGCAGGCCCCCCGTACAGCCCAGTCCCAGAGGGCACTCCGTCAGAGAGTAAGAAGAAGGTCGAGGTCATTGACCTGACAATAGAAAGCTCGTCGGACGAGGAGGACCTGCCGCCCACCAAGAAGCACTGTCCTGTCACCTCTGCCGCCATCCCAGCTCTCCCCGGAAGCAAAGGGTATGAGGAAATGGTCTGAATCTCCTGCAGAAGGACCAGGGGAAAGCCAGGAGAGCTTTCTGGTCACTGGGCAAAGCCTGGTGCAAAGAGGACCGGGGGCCGAGCCGGGCGAGGGCAGCTGTGGTCCGCCGGCTGCCCCAGCTCCTTGTCTCCTCACAGGGTGCTGGCATCCGGCCACCAGCCGTCGTCCGTGCTGCGGAGCCCTGCGCTGGGCGCGCTGGGCAGCGAGTTCCTGTCCAGCCTCCCGCTGCACGAGTACCAGCCTGCCTTCCCCCTGGGGGCGGACATCCAAGGTAGGATGCCCATCGAGTGGGGCCTTCCCTGTCCCATCCGCCCGGAGCCAGTCCGAGCTCTGCTCCTTGTCAGAGCTCCCTGGTCTCTGCAAAGGCCAGATCCAGGAGACTCCTCGTCGTCGTTGTTTGTGGTGAAGGGGTCAGACAGGAAGCTGATTTTAATTCTTTCCTTTTCAGGTTTAGATATATTTTCTTTCCTTCAGACTGAGAGTCAGGTGAGTGACCCCTTCTCCTATGCAGGTCTCAGGTCCCTGAGCTTCCTTGCTGGGCACCAGTGGGCACCCTGCTCTCTCACTGTCCCCGGGCCCACACCAGCTTCTCTGAGAGAGAAGAGGGGGTGGAGCAGGCAGTTTATTTCCCTCCGAGGCCGCCCTAACACTTCCCCATATTCTCATCTACGTCTTCCTTGGCCCCGTTGCTGTCCTGATCCGGAGATTTCAGTGTAGCCCGCCCCTCGCCTGCTCACCCTCTACCCATGTGCACTGAGCACCATGCCTGCCTCCTCCCCACATCCCACACTTGAGACACCCACAGGGCCCGGAAATCGCCACCCGGAGGGGCTGTGTCAAGGCAGGGAGTCGGGTGGGTGTGGGAAAGCAGGGAAAGCACCAGAGAATCGGGGCCCAGAGGGCTGCTTTAGCCCAGGCTGTTTCCGAGGTGAGCAGGGGAGGCGAGTGAAGAACGGGTAAACCTCACCCTGTGCCCTTGACTCCCCAGCACTACGGCCCCTCCGTCATCACCTCGCTAGACGAGCAGGACGCCCTGGGCCACTTCTTCCAGTATCGGGGGGCCCCGTCCCACTTCCTGGGCCCCCTGGCCCCCGCGCTGGGGAGCGCGCACCGCAGCACCACGCCGGCACCCCCTCCTGGCCGCGTCAGCAGCATTGTGGCTCCCGGCGGCGCCTTGAGGGAGGGGCACGGCGGACCCCTGCCCCCAGGCCCCTCTCTGACTGGCTGCAGGTCAGACATCATTTCCCTGGACTGACTGCCCTGGGTTATGGAACCGTCACTGTCTCCCAACATGAGCGAGGATGCTATGGAGTCCAGAGCCCTGGCCACGCTGCCACCAGGGGGTTTGGCCACAGGCAAGAAAGACCTTCACAGACACTCGTTTTGGCCTCATTTCTCTCCGACAAGGCCAGCGTCCAAAGGGTTAATATTTAACCTCTTTTAAAGGACTTTTGGGTCCTGCTTTTTGAAGTGTTCTTGAGATGGCTGGCATATTCCTTTGGGTATGGCAGCATAGGCAGCGGGAGGCAAATGGGATGGATGGGAGTTGCAGAAAGAGCTGAACTCTCAGCCTTGACTATCTCCGCTCTTGGGGAAGGGGCCTCTGCTGTCCCCGACGCCCTCTCTTCCCAGTCCCCAAACCACGGCTCAGTGCCGTCCCCGGAGCCACTGTCTCTTCACGTCCCTACGTTCTCTGGCCAAACGGACAGGTGGAGAAACTCAGACAGACACATGGACAGAGAACTCTATTTTGGGTTGTAGATTTTTTGTACATAAACAAGGAAAACCAAAATACATCCAAAGATGGCTTCCCCTCCTCCTCCTTCCCAGTCCATCTCCCGGAGGAGACGGCCTTGGCCCTGACGCCCAGCAGAGTGGGAGCAGGAGCGGGAGCAGGCTTGGCCCGTGCCTCGTTCTCTATTTATGTATTTAAGTTCACAGTGTTCCTTACCGACCAGCCGGGGGCCGAGCCGCCAGAGCCCGCAGCCCCGTGCTGAGGCCGGCTGACTGCACCTTCCTGCAGGGGAGGACCCGCGTGCTGTCCGTCTCCTCTGCCACCTCCTCCAGGGCCTCGGCCTCTTGTAATTTTACTTTGTATTCCCAAAGTTGTAGCAAAGTTCTCACCCATAATAAAGATAAAACTGAATCTTGTGTGTCCTAGAGGTGGGCTGGGAGGGGATTATGCACTTGGCTTTCCAGATGCCTGGCCTGGGGGCAGGGGGTCCATGTGCCGTTCTTCCTTTGCAGGCCCGGGGTCCACAGGAGCTCCCGTGTCCCACGGCAGGGGCGTCACTCTGCGGATTCCCAAGAGCAGTTGTTCTTCCTTTCTCTATTCCCCTGTCTCTCCCCCCCCCCCCCCGGGTCCCCCCCCCCTCCCCCCCCGTGCCTCCGTGCCCTCAGCCCAGTACCGGGGACGCACTCTCACCTGCCCAAGTGCTGCAGCCAGAGCCTGAGGGCGAACTTGGTCCCAGTGCTGACCCTCTCGGTGCCGTCCGCGGTGGCCGGGGTGGCCTGCAGCAGCGTGGACATGGGCAGGGCCAGAGGCCGGGCTTCTCCGCCCTCGTCCAGTTCCAGGGCACTGCACGACGACGGCTCATGTGTGACTCTGGCTTAGCCACGCCACAGCCACACCCTCCCGACCACGCTGCAGAGGGGCGGGGTGCTTACCTCATTCCACAGGGAGGGTTAGAGGGTGCCCCAGTGGAGAGTGGGGACACACCCGTGACAGGGCTAGCCAGTCAGCAGGAACCCTTGGCGTTGGAAGGACGGTGTCTGATCTCTGTTCTCTTCGTTGTCAGCTGACCAGCTCACCCCCAAATCTCTCCGTCACCCAAGTTCCCCTCGCCCCCAGGAAACAAGCTGTTTTCCAATGTGGACGTGTTGGTGTGCCGGAGGGCCAGGGAGCGGCTCTTACTCACAGGACGGAGGGCGGCAGGTCCTGGGAGAGCTGTCTGGGCGCCTCTGTCCCGTCCTCTGAGACGGCGACCGCCGCGGCTGCGTCCGGGCCCAGCCACAGGACGGCGCTCACCTCGCTGGGGTTCGGCTGGATCCGGGCCTGGGTCAGACATGAGATCCCTTCACCCCGGCCTCTGTCAGGGGCCTGCTCTGCTCACAACCTACCCACTGGTGGATGGAGAGGAGCTTGGGGGCTGGAGGACGGCCCCCCTCCCCCCAGTCACAGTGAGGCCAGCCTGCCAGGCCTGAGCCCGTCTCTTCTTCCCCGCCAGCCCTACCTGCAGCTGCTGCTGTGTCTCCCGGGAGACCACCAGGAGATAGAGGACGATGTGGTGGTATCTGGGGGGACCCCAGCTCAGCCTAGGGGGGTAGGCGGACTAGGAAGAAAATGGCAAAAATGAGCACTTCCTGTCTCTCGAGGGACAGGGAGTACAGCTGAGGGAATGGCGGGAAGAGATGGCGCAGGCGGGACACAGAGGAGGCCACCCCCTCTCCGAAGGCAGGCAAGGCTGTTCCTGGGTTCCGGTGGGGGGAAGGGGTTGGGGTTCTAGGTTACACAGAGAGGTCCCATCTCACCTCCCATAAGCCCAGGGGGACCCACGAGAACTGGTCCGGGGGCAGCTGCAGGCCACTCTCTTCCCAAAGCTCGCGGAGGCCTGCGTCCAGCAGCTGCAGAGAGAGGCCGGGTCAGAGGCCATGCCTGACCCCTGGGCCCTGGCCCCTCCCCAGCCACACCCAAGCTGGTCCCAGATAGGCCTCCCGGCTCAGGGTGGGGTGCAGGGTGGGTAGCCCAATGGTTACCGCTTCACCAGGTTCCACGTGCCCACCTGCAACAACAGGGGCCATAGGTGAGTGTGTGTCCCTGGCCGGACCCCATCACTGTCCACGCTGCCCTGCGGGGGGCATGGGGGCACGGGGGCGCGGGGGCAGGGGGCACAGGGACAGGGGCCACAGGGACAGGGGGCGCGGGGGCAGGGGGCACAGGGGCAGGGGGCGCGGGGGCAGGGGGCGCGGGGGCAGGGGACACGGGTGCAGGGGGCACAGGGGCAGGGGGCACAGGAGTAGGGAGTGGGGGGGCAGGGGGCACAGGGACAGGGGGCACAGGGGCAGGGGGCGCGGGTGCAGGGGAGCCCCTGAGGATGGGCCAGGCCCCTTCCCGGCCTTCCGGCTCCCAGGAACAGCATGCTGGATGGAGCACGTTTGTTTTGGGGACTGGCGCTCACCTGGGGGCACCCAGAGGTTGGGGGAGACTCGGAGGGTGCGTGTCCTTCGTGTCAACAAGACGGCCTGGTCGCTGGACTGCAGGACGACGGCCACGGCCAGGTCCACGTCCCGGTCCGCGGGCAGCGCGGTTCCCGGCGGCGCGGGCTGCCGGTCCAGGGCCGCGAAGGGGCAGAAGGCGGGGCGCTGCGGAGGGAGCCAGTGGGTCCGGGCTCAGCAGCGGGGCGCCCGCCCGGCCAGCCCCCCTGCGCCCGCGCCCCCCGCCCCCCCTCCCGGCCCGGGAGCCCCCACCTGGAGCGGGAGCCTGGCCGTGGCGCCGGGGAAGGGCTCGGCCGAGAGCAGCAGCTGCCCGCGCCGCAGGCCGCAGTGCGTGGGCCACGGCCCGGCGGCCCCGCCGCCCAGGAGGCCGCACACGCTCTGCGCGAAGCCCGCCGGCCGCGGGCGCCCCGACAGCCGCAGCAGCACGCGCGCCTCCGCCATCGCGGCCGGTCACCGCCGCCGGCGCCCCCTGCTGGCCGGTCACCGCCCGCCGGCCCGCGTGGTCGGAAGCCGGAACGCTCCCGGGAAATGTTAGGCAACACATTTGGGGAAGATCCATGGGTGGAGCGTTAATAAATAACGAAGGAGATCACCTCCAGATCTTCAGCTCTTCTCCCCAGCTCTGTTTAGGACAGTGACCCCGCCCTCGGGCCCCCCCCCCCCCCCAATGATTTCAACGTCCCCTCCCAACCAGCCACAAGCCCCTTCCCCACCTGTTACACAGCTATTGCCTCATTCACTAATGTCTCCTAACCACATACCGATCCCCACCCCCTTCCTTTTGCTTCAGTTCTGGCAGCACTCCTAATCCTTTCTGGTCATATCCTGTTTGCAGTTTCCCCAGAACCAGGCTCTGCTTCCCTCTGGGCTTCTTCCCCTTCCATCTGGCAAATCCTCCTCCAGATCAGGACTCAGGCCCTATGTATGGCCCTTCCCCCATGGCTTCTGTGCACCAAACCTCCCATCACAGCCGCCCCCTCCCCTACTTCTTTGCTTCCTTGTAGGGGTGTCGAACTCAATCAGAGAAGGGGCCAAAATCTAAAATCCAGCCTAAATCGCGGGCCGAATGGTTTACTGAACAGTCATAAACTGTCATTGTGATGGAAACACAGCGGAGTACAGTGATGACAGCGCGGTGCGGGCCACATTGCAAGGCCTGGAGGGACGGATTTGGCTCGCGGGCCTTGTGTTTGACACATGTGGCATAAGGCATAGTTGTCCTTGTTCCCCAAGGTCTGGCCTAGTACCGCTATGGAATAGGTGCTCAGTGAATGCCAGTGAGCAGCCTGAGGCGGAGATGGTATCTTATTTATCTTTGTAGATTATATCCGGTATAATGGCTAGCAATTGGCACTTAAATGCTTAATGAATGGTAAGAGGAAACTGAAGAGATTATAAAACAAAACCTGACTGCTTTAAATGACGGAAGCTGCTCTGACAAACTACATCAACCATGTTAATCACGGTGCCGAGACAGCAGGCTTGCTTTTAAGGAGCCAGGAGGAGGAAGGCAATGACTTACTGAGTACTGATTACATGCGGGTACTGTGCCAAGTGTTTTACATGCGTAATTTCACATGTGCTAGAAGCCTGGAGCTGGCAGATGTGGCTTCTTTCCATAGATTATTATAATAGAGTGAATGCTTGGGCCAATCCACCTGCTAGCCCTGAAAATGCTTTCCCCCTACTTGGTGGCAGTCTTTCATATCATACTCCCTACATTTGTGTATGTGTGTGTGTGTAAGATTACAGTGTAACAAAGAACAGGCATAGCTTTTTTCTTCTTTCCTTTTATTGATTTCAGAGAGGAAAGGAGAGGGAGAGGAATAGAAACATCAATGATGAGAATCATTGATGGGCTGCCTCCTGCATGCCCCCTACAGCTTGAGCCTACAGCCCGAGCATGTGCCCTGACCGGGAACTGAACCATGACCTCCTGTTTCATGGGTCGAGATTCAACTACTGAGCGCACACCAGCCAGGTAACAGGTATAGCTTTTTGAAAATGTAATGAACTGCTTAGGAAGAAGTTTCTTCATTGCCAGGAATGTTCAGACACAGACAGTGCTGACTCTGGGTGAGATCTAAGTTTTTTTTTTAAATATATATTTTAATGATTTTTTTTACAGAGGAAGAGAGAGGGATAGAGAGCTAGAAACATCAATGAGAGAGAAACATCGATCAGCTGCCTCCTGCATACCCCCTACTGGGGATGTGCCCGCAACCAAGGTACATGACCTTGACCGGAATCGAACCTGGGACCTTTCAGTCCACAGGTCAACGCTCTATCCACTGAGCCAAACCGGTTTCGGCTCTAAGTTTCTTTTTCCTGCCAAGGAGGAGAGAATGCAGGGACGGTTCGAAGGCAGGATCAGCAAGCTGGTGTATTCTGGGAGGCAGGATGGAGGGTTTCAGTACAAGAATCCCTAGTTTATCCCACTATAAAGAGTGCATCCGGGCACCTCCTGTACTTCTCCTTCCCATCCCTCAGGTCTCTGGGGGAGACTTCTCCAGGGTCACTGCCTCTTCATGTTGCTCTCTATGTACGACTCCAGCAAGAAGATAGTTTCATCCACCTGGATCTCGCTGGCGTCCAACCTGAGAAAGGGAGAGCGTTTGCTGATTGAACACTTACCAGCAGATTTACGGTGAGAGGCTGGGCGGGGTGTGCCATGCAGAATTGCTTGGTTACCCTGGAGATTAATGGGTAGAAAGCAGGAGCACCAAGAGATCCTTCTCCCATTTACTGAGCATCTCTTAAATGCCAGGCATGTGGAAACTGCTGAGGATTCAAAAGCTACAGCCTCTGTCCAGGGAGAAGTTAAAGTCTAACTTGCAATCAGGAGAAAGAATAGCACATGTCAAGGCATAGAAGGTTCCAGTGTGTTTTAAAATAGAAGCTGAAAGTGGCTGAGGCTAGACTGAGTAGTGATTAGGAATGGAAGGGAACTTAGACATGATTGAAGCAATCTAAGAAAACCCCACAGCTAACATCATACTCAATGGTGCAAGACTGAAAGCTTTCTCCTTAAGATCAGGAACAAGATAAGGATGTCTGCTTTTCACTTCCATCCAACCTTTATAAAAATATATATATTTTACTGATTTTTTTACAGAAAGGGAGAGGGAGAGCTAGAAACATCGATGAGAGAGAAAGATTGATCAGCTGCCTCCTGCACACCCCCCACTGGGGATGTGCCCACAACTTAGGTACAAGCCCTTGAGGGGAATCAAACCTGAGACCCTTTAGTCTGCAGGCTGACGCTCTACCCACTGAGCCAAACCGGTTTTGGCATCCATCCAACCTTTTACTGCAGGTTCTAGCCAGGTAATTAGGTAAGAAAAAGAAATAAAAGGCATTCAGATTGGCATGATCCTATACACAGAAAAATCTCAAAGGATCTGCAAAACAACTAAGAGTCAACAAACAACATTTTTAAGAAGTTGCAGGATATAAAATCAAAACACAAAAGTTAGTTTTAGCACTGGCTGGTGTAGCTCGTTGGTTGGAGCATCATCTCACATACCAGAAGGTGGCAGGTTTGAGTCCTGGTCAGGGTGTGTGTGGGAGGCAACCAGTCCATGTGTCTCTCTCATCTTGGGGACCAAGATGGAAGGCCAGATTTGAGGCACATTAACTGAAGTAAAATCAACAACCTTGGTGAACAAGAGTGTGTGGTGAGGGAGGAGAACTGAGGATGTCTTCAGAGTGCAGTTCGGGGAAATAGGTTAAATTTTGTTAACAGGGCTGGAAAAGATAGAGTTCAGGTTTGTCTGTGTCAACTTGGGAGGTGGATTAGTCTGGAAGGTATGTGCAACGTAGGCTTGAAGTGCAGGATGCTTACTTGTTGACGTTACGCTTTAGAGTCTCTATCTGCTGGCGCTCAGGGGCCGTGATCATTTCCTCTATCTCCTGCAGCTGTGCCTCCTCCGCGCCCGTGGCCTGCATGGATGCGATGATGGCTTCCACCCTCTGAGACTTTTCTAGGAGCCGCCTGTCAAACACACAGCTCTGAGGCTGGTCCCCTGGCTGTGGAGACTCTTACCCATCAGCCCCGGGGCAAGACACACCCTCCCCCATGTTCCTAGTCAAAGTGGATAATGCCACCTGTTTTCTACAAACTTAGAAATGTGACTTCGCTCCCGAAATTCTTATTGCCTCTCGTCTGCATTTTATATTTGGTGCCAGTTTGTACATTTCTCGTGAATATAATCTACAAAATTATTTCACTGGGAGTATATATATTGGAAGAGTGTAGTCTAACGCATGATTTATACCAACCTACAGTAAACTAACAATTCAATGCGGCTCGACTGGTTACTGTCTCTATTGGTTTCCATTTCTATAGGAAATTTCCCCTTAAGCCTTTGACCTTGAAAAAATGTAATTACTAAACTAAATTGCTACTCACTTGTTCTCCTTGGTTTCAAACTGCCTCCTTTCTATCAGGTTGGCTATGCTCTGAGGAGAGAGAAGACAGCAAACGCACATAGATCTATTTCAGTAGCTCAGGTAAAAAGGCTAACGGGGGCGTGAGGGTGGGACTGGTCTCTGGGGGGGGAACGGAAGGAGGTCTGGGATTACCCTGTAGCACCGGTGCAGCAGCATGCGGGCAGCCGACAGGATGTTCACAGTGTACAGATAGAAGGTTCTGGAAGGGGCGTGGTCTGGCGTTTTGGGAATTTCCTACTTGTCCACAGAGAGAAAGAGGAGAGCAATTATACTGTTCAGAACTGCCGAGTAAGCATGTGTCCCCTCTGCAGCTACCATGCCTCCTCTCCTTCACTTGCACTCTCCTCCTCCCAGTCATCCCCGCCTCAAGGAGGACTGAGCTGCCCTGTTTTTCCATCTGCACATCCTGCGTGGAGGGGAGAATGAACTAACACTTACTGAGCACCTCTTGTGGGCCAGGTGGACTGTATTTGATCTTTACCACAAACCACCTTATTTCTTACCACCCGTCACCATTTTATAGATGGGAAAAGTTATGGTGGGTAATTTGCTTGATGTAACTAGGTAAGTGGAAGAGCTGTGATTCAGATTCCAAAAGCCATTCTATTGCCTTACCAGGTCTACCACATGGCTCTGCACAGAGTGGAGCTCAGTAGATGTTGATGAATGTGTTCTATAATAAACTTAAGTTCAAGGAAAGGACAAATCACAGGGACCAGGAATTAGGAGAAAGGGTGGACTGATTTCTTGGCTGTGACTTTTTTTTTTTACTAGGTCAGTTCAAGCTCCACAAATATCTGTCAGATGCTTGCTATGTCTTCATTAACCTTTTCTTTTTTCCTGTCTCAGAGCGGGAGACAGAGTTTGCATGGGGTTCAGGATGCATGCCTCAGGAGTTTCTCTCGCCCTCGTCCAGCTCTGTTGGTTGATGGCTACTACCCATTGGTTACCTGGAGCAATATGAAATTTTCTGAGAGCATCTTATAAAGCATATCCTTCGCCTCCTTTGCTGGGATCATTGCAAAGTCTTCTACCTGCTTCTGCTCCAGGTGTTTCTTTTGCAAAACTAGACGAAATATTCTGGCGCAGCGAGACCCAAACCTGGACAGGAATGAAGAAAGCAAACAGCATGCTTTAGCTCCCAGCCGCACACGGTGGGGGCTCTGTTCCCATCTGTGGAGCCAGGACCCAAGAGGGACAGCAATCAGAGGACTCTTTCTCAATGCCACTGCCGGGCTGACGGTGGTGCTGCTAGCCACAGGCGGTCACCGACTGCTGACAGCCCGGAGGGCCTCACGTCCTGCCCTGGTAAGTAAAGCTTTACGGAGGCTGGCCAAAGGGCACTGGGAATGAAGCAGGAGGATATTTAGGATGCAGACAGTAGAAGATGGGATCCATAGCAGTCCAGTGAAAAATGGGGCAGGTGGCCCTAGCCAGTGTGGCTCAGTAGAGAGAGCCTCGGCCTGCGGGCTGAAGGGTATCAGGTTCGATTCTGGCCAAGGGCTTGCAGGCTCAATTTCCAGTAGAGGGCGTGCGGGAGGCCGCCGATTGGTAATTCTCTCACCATTAATCTCTCATCATTATCTCTATCCCTCTCCCTTCCTCTCTGAAATCAATTTTAAAAAAATGGGGCAGGTATGCCTCTGTTGGTTGCTTACACAATGATCAAATTACTTGTTCAAAGAGGCATGGAAAAGAAGCGTCTGACCCCCATCCCAGTCATAGTGACCCCTTACCGTTCCTGTACAACCGACTCCAGGGTGGCTGTGGCTAGGGAGCCGAGAACCTTATGCAGGTCTTTATGCAGAGGATTAAGGTCACTCAATCATGTTTTGGCTTGGTCATTGTGATATTAGTTTAATTCCTAAGTCTCTAATTTAAAATTTAAATGTTATTTGTTTTTTACATTGATCACATTTATAATAAATAAGTATTTTAAAACTTTAAGTATGGTATTTAAGTCAGGATTTAGCTTAACTAAAATTTGGTTAATTACAAGTCCTTTCTGCCCTGGATAGTGTTGCTCAGTGGTTAGAGGTTCAGCCTACACATCAAAGGGTGGAAAATTCAATTCCGACAAGGGTGTGTACCTGGGTTTCAGGTTTATCCCTGGCCCCAGTTGGGGTGCTTGTGGGAGGCAACCAATCAATGTGTCTTTCTAACATCAATGTGTACCTCTCTCTCTCTCCCTCCCTCCCTCCTTCCCTCCCTCCCTCTTTCTCTCTTCTACCCTCTCTAAAAAGAAAAATAATCAATGGGGAAAATATCCTGGGGTGAGGATTAACAAAAACAAACAAAAAGTCCTTTTTACTTCTTTATCATCAATGTAATAAATTTTCTAACTTATTTAGCATACCAACTATTCTCACATCCTTTCTGTCATAAGTCGCCACTCTCATAGTCCGGCTGCCAGACTGTACAGAAATAACTGGTAAGGATACTGATGACATACGTTCCTCCACCACTGTCGCCAGACTTTCCAACAAACTGTAGCTGTTAAAAAAAGAGGGACTGTGTGAACTGACTGGACAATCCAGTGATTCTGTTTCCAAAGGAGCAAATCTAGCCCAGTCTGTAGAAGGAAGCCTCCTGTTAGGTGACGGCAGGGAAGCTGTCTGAGTCAGTTAGCTAGAGAATGAGGCTATAGGAGAATGAGACCAGGTATCTCTGGCAGAAATAAATCCTAAGCATAGCAGAAAAAAGAAACATTAAAAAAGCAAAAACAGACTTACTGGATCATCTGCCAGCAGAGTGAGATACTGATCAAGAACTTGCTTAGAGATGTTGTAGCCGGTAGGTAGAGATCTGAAGATCTAGGGTGCAAAAAGATACTAAAAATGGGCTTGGGAACTTAGAATTGCTGACATTACTAAAATAAATATGTTTTAATTTTAGATATCACAGTATAAAAATGTCCCCAAAATACAGCAGCAATGTTTGTATAAGAGTAAAAATCTAGAAATAATCCAAATGTCCAAAAATTAGGGATTGATTAAAATAAAGTACAGCATAGTCATTAAGTGAAATATGACATAGCCATTATAAAAAAATAAGACAGATCTATAACTGACATGAAAAGGTGTATATTGTATTGGCACAGGAAAACTACAAGTTTATAACATGTACACATATCTATATATATGTGGGATGGTACATAAAAATAGTCTGAATAAAGATACATACCAAACTATTAACAAGGATGCCTGGGATTGAAATTATGCAAGACTATAATAGTTTGGGGAACTACAACTTTTTAAGAATTATACATGTCTATTCTGTTTGAATATAGGTCATGTAGTTACTTTGTCATTAGAAAAAAAAACATATTTAATTTTTTAAAAGAATCTTTTTGTTGATTTCAGAGAGGAAGGGAGAGGAGAGAGAGAAACATCAACAATGAGAGAGAATCACCCATCAGCTGCCTCCTGCGCAACACCTACTAGGGACGGAGCCCAAACCTGGGAAGGTGCACTGACTGGGAATCAAACCGTGACCTCCTGGTTTATGGGCTGATGCTCACCCACTGAGCCACAATAGTTGGGCATGCATTTAATTTTTTGCTATATAAGTTAAGAATTTAAATATAAATAAAAGCTTAATAAATATTTTTTGTATTAATAAATATATTAGGAAAGTAATAGAATATAAACAAACAGATTGGATATGTTAAATATTAATATTTTAAGAACGATATAGTTAAACAAGTTTAAAATATACAAAATATGCCGAAACCGGTTTGGCTCAGTGGTAGAGCGTCGGTCTGCGGACTGAAAGGTCCCAGGTTCGATTCCGGTCAGGGGCATGTACGTTGGTTTCGGGCACATCCCCAGTAGGGGGTGTGCAGGAGGCAGCTGGTCGATGTTTCTCTCTCATCGACGTTTTTAGCTCGCGCGCTCTCTCTTTCTCTCTTTCTCTCTCTCTCTCTCTCTCTCTCTCTCTCTCTCTCTCTCTCCCCCCCCCCCCCCCCTTCCTCTCTGTAAAAAATCAATAAAAATATTTAAATAAATAAATAAATAAAATATACAAAATATATTGGGGGGAAAAACAATTAAGGGGCCATATAATGTCCTGAGCACTAAGGCTCTCAGATTCCAGTGGTGCATTCTTAGAATAGGAATAGTTTGTACTTTGACTAAGAGAATGGCTTAGATTTTTTAAGGCTGGATCCAAAGAGACCAAATATTTTAGTACCTACCACCTGCAGATAATCTCTGTCCCACCTCAAATAACCAAGGCTCTTTCGAGGCTCAAACCTCATCAACCTAATTCCAGGCTGTATGTATAATAATTATGTTATTCTACCCAAGAGCCTGTCAGAAAAGGAGTACAACAGGAGACTCACCTCATTGGAAGACAGTGGCTGGGTGAAGGGGGCACTGGAGGGAGTGGTGATCTCACTCATCCGAAGCATGGTCCTTACGATCTCGCTGCTGGTCTGGATTTGAAAAGGGAACTGGAATTCAGAATTCATTCTGCTGTGCTGGCTCTAGCTAAGGGCCAATGGCCACATCTGGCAAATAAGATCGTCCCTGATGGCCACTGTCCCACCCCCTCAGATGTCACCTGGTCCATCCTGTTGGCCACTGCGCTGACAATGGCTTGGTCTCGGAAGTGCTGGTGGAACCTGTCAAGGTTGGCTTGCCAGTAAATTCCATCATCTGGAATGGGCTGAGGAGGAGAAAAGGATCAGCAAGAAGCATCTGCATGCACTGGGGAGTTTTCTGGTGAGGAGCTTAAAGGGAACTGGCCACCAATTGTTTGCTGAAAAATCATCTGGTCACATGGTCCATTGCCTTCATAAATTCAGTCTCATTTCAAACAGATTCTCAACCAACTTCCAATCTTTTCTCTGTTACATTTTAACTCTTCTCCAGTATCCCCAAATCTCATTTACCCCACCCTTATCATTCTCAGCAGAGGACTTTGCATCTTATTTTGAGAGAAAACAGAAGCCATTAGGCCAGAACTCATCCAAGTTTGTGCATACCCCCCACATTTATTTTTATTAAAGTCCACTTATAACACAGCAGAAAACAGGTGCTTCCTTTTACCTAAGCTTAGTGCCCACACTGAAATGGGAGACCTTACCCTCCCTGCATTCTCAGGGACCAGCTCAGTTTTCCCTCCTCTCTAAATCTTCAGCTTCTCTCTTTACTGTCTTCCCCCACCAATGTTTACCTTGTCCAAATGTCTTCTACTTTAAAATAATTCAACACTATGAGTTTTCTCCTTTTCATTTTTGTTACAGTCAATGTTGTCAAAGAGTTGCCCATCCATTGTATCTCTGTCCACAGAGGTACTCAACCCATCCCCACCACTGCACTGAATGTCAAGGTCCCCTGGCTGCCAAATCCAAAGAAGACTTTCCAATTCTGATCTTCTTTGATCTTTCTGAAGCATATGACAAGGTGGGACATTTTTTCCTTCTTCTTTTTTTAAATATATTTTATTGATTTTTCACAGAGAGGAAGAAAAAGGGAGTTAGAAACAATGAGAGAGAATAATCAATCAGCTGCCTCCTGCACACCCCCTTCTGGGGATGTGCCCGCAACCAAGGTACATGCCCTTGACTGGAATTGAAACCGGGACCTTCCAGTCCGCAGGCCGATGCTCTATCCACTGAGCCAAACCGGTTTCAGCCATTTTTTCCTTTTTAATTTTATGTGACCCCCCTTTGATTTTATCACACTATCCTTTTTATCAAGTAATGTTTATTGATTTCAGAGAGAAAGGGAGAGGGAGAGAGAGATAGAAACATCAATGATATGAGAGAATCATCGATCGGCTGCCTCTTCCATGTCCCCCCCTGGGGATCAAGCCCACTACCTGGGCATGTGAAGATCTGTGGGAAAAAACATTTGAAGCAGAAGGAATACTAAAGGCAAAAGAGTTTGACATTTTGAGGTATGGAAAGAGAGAAGCTGGAACGTAGTGAACATGAGGAAGAATGGAAAGAGCTGAGGGCGGAGTGCCTGGTCTCTAGCAGGTCTCATATAAGGCTCAATAATCCATAGTCAAGACTTGGATTTCTTCTAAGAGTAATGGGAAGCTACTAAAGGAGTCTAAATCAGTGTTATGTTGGGATTAAAAAAAAATTAAGAAAGTTAAATAGGTAAGAATGCAGGTAGAGTAACCATTAGGAGAATGCTGGCAAAGAGCTGACTCGAAGTTTGATGGTTTGGACTAGGATGATAGCAGTGGAAATGGTGAGAAACAGCTGGAGTTTAGGTAACTTGGGAAATGGGGTGACATGTTTTACTGGGAGATCAGATGGTTTCTAGGATTTTAGCCTAAGCAAGTGGTGGTGAGTTAGAGGTGACTGGCCTAGGTCCTTTCCTAAGATGAGGAAAACTAAGAGAACAGATATCTGGGTGGGAGAAAACAATTATTCTGTTTTAGCCATACTAAATCTGAGATGCTCATTAGATATCTTTGTAGAGATGCTGACAAGGCATCTATAATAATAAAAGCATAATATGCTAATTAGACCAGGCAGCCCAACGACCTTCTGGACAAAGCCAGGGCAAATGTGGCTTCGAGGGCCAAGCCCCTTGCACGAATTTCGTGCACAGGGCCTCTAGTTTGAAGATTAAAGCTCAGGCTTACAGATGTCTTTCCG